CCAGAAACGGCAGCACTCCCAGGGGCTTTGCCAAGGGCAGTGGCGCGTCCCCAGTGGCTCTGCCAGCGACAGCGGGGCTCACATGGGCTCTCCCAAGGACACTGGTGCTCCCAGGGTCTTGCCAGGGACGGTGGCGAACCCAGGGGCCCTCCCAGGGACAGCGTTAAACCCAGGGGCCCTCTCCGGGATGGTATCCGGGGACAGCAGAGCTCCCAGGGCTGGCGCCGACCCCAGGAACCGTACCAAGGGTCCCGGTGGGCCCTACGACATGCTTAACCGTCGTGTCATACACTGTATATTATATACCTCAAGCAGTCCCTTACTTAACTGTGATTGGTGGACTATTCTTTAACCCACCAAATTACAGCCAATAGGAGCAGAGAGCAGTCAGTCAGCACAACACCTCAACTTATGGTTTCCTGTTGATATTATTCTCCATTGCCTTCTCCAGAATGCGATGATACTGGAAATGTGATGGGCGCCGGTGTGTTTGGTTAACGTTACTTCTCCCAGAGCTCTAAATAGAGCAAAAACTACTGCAACCAGGGGCCTTCCCAGAGACGGGAGCGCTTGCAGGGACCCTCCCAGGGGCTGCGGCACCCTGGGGACTCTTCCAGTGACAGCGGCGTCCTAGGAGTACTCTGAGGGACATCGGCGTCTCCAGGTGCCCTTCAATGGCGGTGGCGCCCCAAGGGGCCTTGCCAGAGACGATAGCGCCATCAGGGACACTCACAGGGCCATCGGTAGCTCAGGGGCCCTCCCAGGCACGTGAGCACCCCAAGGGGTCCTGCAAGGGGCATTTGCGGCCCCTGGGGCCTTGCCAGAGACGGTGGGGCCCTCAGAGGCCTTGCCAGGGGCGCTATCGTCACCAGGGGCTCTTCCTGGGACAGCAGCTCTCCCAGAGACCCTCTCAGGAGCGGTGGCGTCCACTGGGGCCATGTCATGGACAGCGGAGCTCCCAGGGACCCTCCCAGGGGAAGCGCCGACCCCAGAAATCGTACCAAGGGTCCCCAGGAGCCCTATGGCAAGATTGTCCATAGTGTCATATATATATTACATACATCCAGCAGTCCCTTACTTAACTGTGATTGGTGGACTATTCTTTTAACCCACCAAGTTACAGCCAATAGGAGCAGAGAGCTGGCAGTCAGCAAACACCTCAACTTATGCTTTCCTGTTGGATATTATTCTCCAATTACCTTCTTCAGAATGTGATGATACTAGAAATGTGATGGGTGGTGGGGTATTTATTTAACGTTGCTTCTCCCAGAGCTCTAAATAGTGCAAAACTACTGCAACCACGGCCCTCCCAGGGACATGAGCGCTTGTAGGGATCCTCCCAGGAACAGGAGTTCTCCCAGGGCCCGTGCCATGGGCGGTGGCACCCCTACAGGCTCATCCAGGGACATTGGCCCACTCAGGGGCTCTCCCAGGAACAGTAGCGCCCGCAGGGACAGTGCCAAAGGCGGTAGCGCAAGCCAGGACGCTCCCAGGGACAGGGACACTCCCAAGGGCCGTCCCAGAGATGGCGGTGCCCCCATTGACTCTCCCAGTGACAGCAGCGCCCCAGGGACCCTCCCATGGACGACGGCGCACCCAGGGGCCCTGCAACAGGCGGTGGTGCCCCCAGGGACCTTGCCAGAGGCAGTGGCGTCCTTAAGGGCCTTGCCAGAGGCAGTGGCGGCTTCAGGGGCCTTGCCAGTGGTGCTGGCGCCCCCAGGTTCTCTCCCTGGGACAGTGGCCTTCCAAGGGGTCCTCCCAGAAATGGCAGCCCTCCCAGGGGCTCTGCCAGCGACAGCGGCGCGTCCCCAGTGGCTCTGCCAGCGACAGCGGGGCTCACATGGGCTCTCCCAAGGACACTGGTGCTCCCAGGGTCTTGCCAGGGACGGTGGCGAACCCAGGGGCCCTCCCAGGGACAGCGACGCACCCAGGGGCCCTCTCCGGGATGGTAGCCAGGGACAGCAGAGCTCCCAGGGCTGGCGCCGACCCCAGGGACCGTACCAAGGGTCCCGGTGGGCCCTACGACATGCTTAACCGTCGTGTCATACACTGTATATTATTTACCTCAAGCAGTCCCTTACTTAACTGTGATTGGTGGACTATTCTTTAACCCACCAAATTACAGCCAATAGGAGCAGAGAGCAGTCAGTCAGCACAACACCTCAACTTATGTTTTCCTGTTGATATTATTCTCCATTACCTTCTTCAGAATGTGATGATACTGGAAATGTGATGGGTGGCGGTGTGTTTATTTAACGTTGCTTCTCCCAGAGCTCTAAATAGAGCAAAAACTACTGCAACCAGGGGCATTCCCAGAGACGGGAGCGCTTGCAGGGACACTCCCAGGGACTTTTGCACCCTGGGGACTCTTCCAGTAACAGCGGCGTCCCAGGGGCCCTCCCATGTACGACGGCACACCCAGGGGCCCTGCAACAGGCGGTGGTGCCCCCAGGGACCTTGCCAGAGGCAGTGGCGTCCTCAAGGGCCTTGCTAGAGGCAGTGGCGCCTTCAGGGGCCTTGCCAGTGGTGCTGGCGCCCATAAGTTCTCTCCCTGGGACAGTGGCCTTCCAAGGGGTCCTCCCAGAAACGGCAGCACTCCTAGAGGCTTGGCCAAGGGCAGTGGCGTGTTCCCAGGGGCCCTGCCAGCGACAGCGGCGCTCACATAGGCTCTCCGAAGGACACTGGTGCTCCCAGGGTCTTGCCAGGGACGGTGGAGAACCCAGGGCCCTCCCAGGGACAGCGTTGCACCCAGGGGCCCTCTCCGGGAGGGTAGCCAGGGAGAGCAGAGCTCCCAGGGCTGGCGCCGACCCCAGGGACCGTACCAAGGGTCCCGGTGGGCCGTACGACATGCTTAACCGTCGTGTCATACACTGTATTGCCCTCAAGCAGTCTACTTGCTAACACAGCAGTTGGTGGACTGCATACACCAAATTACAGCCAATAGGGCTGAAAACGGTCAGTCAGCTGCTTTTCAACTTATGCTTTCCTGTTGATATTGTTCTCCATTGCCTTCTGGGGAATGCGATGATGCACAAATGTGATGGCGGTGTAATTTGGTTAACGTTGTAGCTACTCCCAGAGCTCTAAATAGAGCAGCTTCTAAACAGGGGCCTTCCCAAGACAAGGAGCGCTTGCAGGGTTCTAGAACACCGCTTTAAAGGACTCTTCCAGTGACATCAGCGTCCTAAATTACTCACGAGGACATCGGCCTCCAGGTGCCTTCAATGGTAGCTGAGGCCTTGCCCAGAACGAAATGGCGCCATCAAGGAGGACACTCACAGGGCCGCTTCGTGGCTCAAAATTCCCTCCAGGCAGTCTCCAGGGGCGTTCCCCGGCCCTGGGGCCTTGCCAGAGACGGTGGGGCCCTCAGAGGCCTTGCCAGGGGCGCTATCGTCACCAGGGGCTCTTCCTGGGACAGCAGCTCTCCCAGAGACCCTCTCAGGAGCGGTGGCGTCCACTGGGGCCATGTCATGGACAGCGGAGCTCCCAGGGACCCTCCCAGGGGAAGCGCCGACCCCAGAAATCGTACCAAGGGTCCCCAGGAGCCCTATGGCAAGATTGTCAAAAGTGTCATATATATATTACATACATCCAGCAGTCCCTTACTTAACTGTGATTGGTGGACTATTCTTTTAACCCACCAAGTTACAGCCAATAGGAGCAGAGAGCTGGCAGTCAGCAAACACCTCAACTTATGCTTTCCTGTTGGATATTATTCTCCATTACCTTCTTCAGAATGTGATGATACTAGAAATGTGATGGGCGGTGGGGTATTTATTTAACGTTGCTTCTCCCAGAGCTCTAAATAATGCAAAACTACTGCAACCACGGCCCTCCCAGGGACATGAGCGCTTGTAGGGATCCTCCCAGGGACAGGAGTTCTCCCAGGGCCCGTGCCATGGGCGGTGGCACCCCTACAGGCTCATCCAGGGACATTGGCAGACTCAGGGGCTCTCCCAGGAACAGCAGCGCCCGCAGGGACCGTGCCAAAGGCGGTAGCGAAAGCCAGGACGCTCCCAGGGACAGGGACGCTCCCAAGGGCCCTCCCAGAGATGGCGGTGCCCCCATTGACTCTCCCAGTGACAGCAGCGCCCCAGGGACCCTCCCATGGACGACGGCGCACCCAGGGGCCCTGCAACAGGCGGTGGTGCCCCCAGGGACCTTGCCAGAGGCAGTGGCGTCCTTAAGGGCCTTGCCAGAGGCAGTGGCGGCTTCAGGGGCCTCGCCAGTGGTGCTGGCGCCCCCAGGTTCTCTCCCTGGGACAGTGGCCTTCCAAGGGGTCCTCCCAGAAACGGCAGCCCTCCCAGGGGCTCTGCCAGCGACAGCGGCGCTCACATGGGCTCTCCCAAGGACATTGGTGCTCCCAGGGCCTTGCCAGGGACGGTGGCGAACCCAGGGGCCCTCCCAGGGACAGCGACGCACCCAGGGGCCCTCTCCGGGATGGTAGCCAGGGACAGCAGAGCTCCCAGGGCTGGCGCCGACCCCAGGGACCGTACCAAGGGTCCCGGTGGGCCCTACGACATGCTTAACCGTCGTGTCATACACTGTATATTATGTACCTCAAGCAGTCCCTTACTTAACTGTGATTGGTGGACTATTCTTTAACCCACCAAATTACAGCCAATAGGAGCAGAGAGCAGTCAGTCAGCACAACACCTCAACTTATGTTTTCCTGTTGATATTATTCTCCATTACCTTCTTCAGAATGTGATGATACTGGAAATGTGATGGGTGGCGGTGTGTTTATTTAACGTTGCTTCTCCCAGAGCTCTAAATAGAGCAAAAACTACTGCAACCAGGGGCCGTCCCAGAGACGGGAGCACTTGCAGGGACACTCCCAGGGAGTTTTGCACCCTGGGGACTCTTCCAGTAACAGCGGCGTCCCAGGGGCCCTCCCATGTACGACGGCACACCCAGGGGCCCTGCAACAGGCGGTGGTGCCCCCAGGGACCTTGCCAGAGGCAGTGGCGTCCTCAAGGGCCTTGCCAGAGGCAGTGGCGCCTTCAAGAGCCTTGCCAGTGGTGCTGGCGCCCATAAGTTCTCTCCCTAGGACAGTGGCCTTCCAAGGGGTCCTCCCAGAAACGGCAGCACTCCTAGGGGCTTGGCCAAGGGCAGTGGCGTATTCCCAGGGGCCCTGTCAGCGACAGCGGCGCTCACATAGGCTCTCCCAAGGACTCTGGTGCTCCCAGTGTCTTGCCAGGGACGGTGGACACCCCAGGGGCCCTCCCAGGGACAGCGTTGCACCCAGGGGCCCTCTCCGGGATGGTAGCCAGGGAGAGCAGAGCTCCCAGGGCTGGCGCCGACCCCAGGGACCGTACCAAGGGTCCCGGTGGGCCCTACGACATGCTTAACCGTCGTGTCATACACTGTATATTATATACCTCAAGCAGTCCCTTACTTAACTGTGATTGGTGGACTATTCTTTAACCCACCAAATTACAGCCAATAGGAGCAGAGAGCAGTCAGTCAGCACAACACCTCAACTTATGTTTTCCTGTTGATATTATTCTCCATTGCCTTCTCCAGAATGCGATGATACTGGAAATGTGATGAGTGGCGGTGTATTTATTTAACGTTGCTTCTCCCAGAGCTCTAAATAGAGCAAAAACTACTGCAACCAGGGGCATTCCCAGAGACGGGAGCGCTTGCAGGGACACTCCCAGGGACTTTTGCACCCTGGGGACTCTTCCAGTGACAGCGGCGTCCCAGGGGCCCTCCCATGGACGACGGCACACCCAGGGGCCCTGCAACAGGCGGTGGTGGCCCCAGGGACCTTGCCAGAGGCAGTGGAGTCCTCAAGGGCCTTGCCAGAGGCAGTGGCGCCTTCAGGGGCCTTGCCAGTGGTGCTGGCGCCCATAAGTTCTCTCCCTGGGACAGTGGCCTTCCAAGGGGTCCTCCCAGAAACGGCAGCACTCCCAGGGGCTTGGCCAAGGGCAGTGGCGCGTTCCCAGGGGCTCTGCCAGCGACAGCGGCGCTCACATAGGCTCTCCCAAGGACACTGGTGCTCCCAGGGTCTTGCCAGGGACGGTGGAGAACCCAG